GTTGGTTGGTTGGGTTTTTTTTTTTTTGTCGCACTTGCTCTTTTACCCTGTAGAATTGCATAAGAGTGATTACTAATAACCACATGACAAAGTCAATATTAGAATGTCTTGAGGTCTCTTCTGCCAACAAAATTAGTACAAAACTTTCAATTTAGCCTCAGGCAGACTTTTAGGACAAAGGCAGAAAGCAATCATAATCTTTGCCAAAATATCACAAAAACTGTCTCGTCTCTAGCCTAGTTTCTAAAAATGTTCCCTTCTGAAACTTCCTGAGCTGGGCCTGTGTAGTCAGCATGGCTCTCAGCACTAGTTACACACATATATTAAAAGTAGTGGAATTTATAACATCTAATTAAAATAAACCAGAATCCCCTTCCCTCCTGTGATGGTGTAAATGAGAATGGCCACATAGGATCATGTGTTTGAATACATGTTTCTCAGTTGGTAGAACTGTTTGGGAAGGATTGGGGGGTGTGGTTTTCTTAAAGAAAGTGTGTCACTGGGAGTAGATTTTGAGGTTTCAGAAGCCCATGTCATTCCCGGTTTTCTTTCTCTCTCACTCTTTTAGATCAATATGTAGGTTCCCAGCTACTACTCCAATTTCATGTTTGCCTGCTTGTCCACTGCCATATTCCTTACCATGATGCCATGGACTCAACCTCTAAAACTGTGAACACCTAATGAACTCTTCTATAAGCTTCCTTGGTTATGGTGTTTTGTCACAGCAATATAAAAGTAACTAAGATGCCTCCATTCCAAACATTGCTTGCTCCTAACTCCTGTTGCAAAACGTCTTGCAAGCAACACCAGCTCTTCCTCTTCAGAGCTAATGGCATCTTTCCTCCTCTCTACAGAGCTGATGTTCTTGGACCCTTGCTTTGTTGACCAACCTACTCTCACCCTCTCCTTCACACGAGATCTTTCCTACTCTAGAGATGACCGGCCAATTCAGTTCAAATGTGTGTTTTCCCTCACCATGCTTTTAAAATGCTATCAACTGCCTGACACATTTATGTGTTTTAAAATACAGGTTTCTAGCTTCCTCTGAAAAATGAGGAGATACGTCCATCTGCAGTCTCTTCCCTCCGTGACAGCAGATAGGAGCTGAGGACAGTGTCTTCTGGGGGATGGGCCTCCTTTGTCACACTCCCCACTACTCTACTCGGCTTACTTCACCACTCGAATCCGCTGTGTGCACCTTGTGAACACCCAACTGGTGTCTTTTCTGCCCATGGCTCCTGTTTTATGTCTGAGCTCTTGAACCCAGGTTTCAGCAAGTCAGGAACAGCTCAGTCAAGGCTGTACCATACAACACACAGCAGAAGTGGCTTCCTACAAAGGGAGGGACAGTTTCTGACTTCTCTCTGCACCCTCAATGAACCTGGCCCAGAGCAGATGTTCAGGAAACCGTGATGCTGGGGGAAAAAAACCAATAAGAATGTCTCTTGTGTCACTGAAAACACATTTCATTTTCTTTTCACCTGTGTCCTCCTGCTCCCCACCCCACACACCCTGCTCTCTTCTGTAGATTCAATGACTCTTCAGGCCTGGCCCTGGCTCAGCAGTGAACCAGACTGTGAGTTAAGTGAGATTAGAAAGATGTGGCAAAAACAAGCAAGAAGGCTCCGTCGGTTAAAGTGCTCTCTGTGTACCCACACAAAGGTGGAAAGAAATAACCTACCCCGCAAAGCTGTCTTCTGACCTCCGTACACTGTACATAGGTATCCCCTCCACATACATGGTATATATGCACAGTAAATAAATACATAAATAAACAGATGGCTTCAGAATGCACACTCCCCTTGCAGAGAACCAAGTTATGTTCACAATACCTACACTGGGGGTGGGGTGCTCACAACCCCCTGTAACTCTAGCTCCAGGAATTTCCAAGGCCTCTCTCTGGCTTCTAAGGGCACCTGCACTCACATGAACATAAGCACAGATTCATGCATGCACAGTTAGAAACTTTTTTTAAAAAATCTTTAAAATAAATAATAAAAGAAGTAGTGGGAAGATATAAGATAATTCCAGGCATAAGTGGCAGCTTCAGCCCCACTGTCAAGGACCCCAGCCAAGTGCTGTGTCCTTTCTGACCAGTGTGGCTCAGCAGCCAGATGGCAAGGATGATTCCATCCCCCCAACCCAGGCAGGCTGTGAACAGGCAGCGTCAAGTGTGGTCCTCATCGGCTGAGCCCTAGGGCCCAAAGCTGCCTTGTTCTAGCAAATGATGACTTTTTAATTTTGAGCCTTTGGTCCCTGGTGAGAGAGGTGGAGAGAGGATTGAGGATGGCATCTGGATCCTGCAAAATCAGAGAGACCTTGGGCAGGGAATGACCTTGAGAGGTCATTGCCTGCCTCCTTTTCTTCTTTGTCCAAGGCCCATACTGGGTACTGGGTTACTTCCTTCAAGAAGTAACTCTCTCTCTCTCTCTCTCCCTCTCTCTCTCTCTCTCTCCCTCTCTCTTTCTCTCCCTCTCTCTCTCTCTCTCTCTCTCTCTCTCTCCTTCCTCCCCCCTCCTCCTACTAGCACTTCTAAAATCCTCCAATGCAAAATTGATTCCTAGAGGCAGGCCCTGAGTGAACTTGGGGATAGACAAATACATTCAAATATATTGAAGCCTTGGCTTTAATTCCTGTAGTGGCTGTCACATTGCAGAAGTCACTTGGTCTTGGTGGGCTGTCACCACCTAAAATGAGGGGAAATTCTCATCCCTGGTCACTCACAGGGTTGAGGGGGCTTAATATAGTATTGAAAAAAACCTTTTGTTAAGTTGACATAAAAGAAAATAAAGAGGATAATCTCCTTAGTGATGCCATCAATCTTTTTTGTTGCAAAATTAGCTAGGGAGAGACACCATACTCCTGACATCCCAGGAGCCCTAGCACAGATCTCAACCCATGTCCTCATATATCATTTATTTTGGTCTGCACAAAAGACAGTAAGAGAGTCAGGACACAGATGGGGGAACCAAGACCCAAAGAGTGACAGGTTACCCATCCCAGCATATGTCCCAAGCTATAACTGCTAGCAGAAAGCCTCATATAAATAATACAATTAGTCAGTTGACCTTAGTTCAAATCCCAACACAGCCATTTACTAGACTATAGACCATGAGACAAATCACAGACCCTTTCTGACCCTCACATGAAACATGAAGACCATGGAACCCGCTTTGCAGGGCTGACTGTGGACCGGGTCTGTAGCTCAGTGCTAGAGACCTGGGTAGCATCTGCAAGGCCTGGGAATAATAGTCATGGAAGTGTCTAGCACATTTTCACATCTAGCTGTGTTTGGTTATGACTCATATTTCCCAAAGCAAATGTGAGGCATATTGTGAGGGTTAGCAGCACACCCCATGTCCCCGTGCGTCAAGGACAAAGGTCAGTGGAGGAAGGTGCCAACAGTTATGTTCCTACTGCTTTGGTCTTTTTAAATTGTCATCATCTTAAACAAAGGAAAATTACACAAAATGGAAGGCAGGTTGCACAAACGATCAACGAGGATAGTCGAACAGCAGCACGAGCTGCCGCAAGATAGGGAGCATGTTGAAGGGGGAAGTAAGCTTGGAGTCTACCCTCGCAGCCAGGTGAGTTCTCACTGACCAGCAACAAGGAGCAAGGCTGCTTGTTCGCAGAGTCACTGTAGCCTGGTTGCAGAGAGTCCCTGCTGCAAGGACCCTTACATAAGCCAGGTCACAGGGTGAACTGTGATTTAGCAAAACGCAGAACCATCCTTCAGGAATATTTTCTCATTACCGGGGTCACTCAGGGCTTTAGCAGCCTGTCCCCAGGGCACAGTGACTGATGGAGTAAGCCCTGCTCCACCCAGGAGCACAGGTCTGTGGGCATCTCCCCAGATGCACATCTTTAGTGATGCTCACCCCTAACAGACCACTCCCTTTGCCATCCTGGGGTCTGTAGTCCCGTGGGTTTTGGAGCCTTCGGGAGGGCTAAGACGCCCCGGCATACTCCTCTTCTTCCTTCTTTAACATATCTGCTTCACTAATGATGACATTTTCACCAAGTGGCAATGACAAAAAAATTAGTTCATGGCCCTTGGCAAGTGAACATTGAGCATTCTTATTAAACTTTCAAGGGGAAAATGCAATCTGTGCATGCAGGAAGCCACTTGGTCTTTGGGAAAGACTTGGGGGGAAGACCCCCCTCAGATGACACACAGGGAGGATGCAGGGGCCTGAATCAGTTAGGACCTGCATGCTCAGAGGCATAGGACCAGCCACACAGAGGAAGCAGAGGGTCTTTGACTGTCCTCAGCTATACCAAAGCCTGTCAAAGATCTCGGTGGCTTAATGAGCCCCTTAAGCTGGGCACTGACTGTGTTCTTTCTGCTGGCTGGCTATGCACAGCTCTTCCTCAGCCCCTTCCAGCTCTTCCTCACACCACCCCCGCTCCCCACTTACTGGAAATTATTAAGAAAGCCTGGCATTAGGCAGAACACAGCAAGCTTACTTCATGTGCCCCTGGCGCTACCTCTGGTGCCTTTAAAGGCAGGGAACTCAAGCTTGTGAAGGTACATCCCACAAGTGGCATGGAGATGAGATGCTGCAGACTTCCCCAGGGCTCATGCAGTCACTGTCTCTATGCATTGCAAAGCATAGAGCCAGGGTCAAGAGAAACTCGGCCTGAGCCCTTGGAGCTGTGTGCTGTTCCGTCCTGTGTAATGTTAGCATGCGCCATTTACATCTATGTCTGTTGATCCTGACTGAGTTGGGCAGTGAGCAACCCACACAGCCGTTTTCCACAGCCTGGGCCTCCCACATTGGAGTCTATTTTCTCTTACTGCTGCACACACAATGCCTGGGCACAGCTCATGCTTGGCCTTCAACATATGCCTGTCACACATCTGTATAAGCACATGAACTTTTGAAAATATATATTATATACATATGTAATATATAACATACATATATATGTATATGCATATATAATATATATTTGATGGTTTTATGTGATTTAAGTCTCAATGTCAGGTGTTGTACCTGTCAGGCTTTCCTGTGTTCCCTTTTCTCCATCATGGTTGCTAGTCTGGGCTTCCTGCAAAAAAAGAAAACAAAGAGGTTCAGACTCAGAATAGCTCTGGTTCTATCTAAGGTTCCTGGTCTCTCTGGGCCCTGACTTCTTCATCTGCAAAATGAGGCTCCTGGACTCCGGCTTCTAAAAGCCCTGTCAGCCAAGTCCTTCAGACTAGGAGGACAAGCCACTCAGAATGAGACCCACACAGTGCTCGGAGAAAGATGGCCGACTGCCACTGCTTCCTCTCTGCCCCTCTGTTGCTGGATCCATTCTCGTGATCATTTCCAGGTGCCAGGATGCTACCCAGAACTCAAGCCCTTTTCTGACTAGACAGATAGTCTCTCATCTTCACAGTAGCATAAAGTCAAGAACCAGATGCAGTCGTGACTAAATGCAATGCTCTGATTGGCCAGCAAGGGTGAGAACCCCCTCATAACACAACCCCATAGGCTGAGAGTTGGAAAGCAATGGTTCTTCAAGGCAGGTATGGGTACATGCTGCAGTAGTATATTATTGTGAAAATATCTTGCATTCTGAAAAACTGGAACTTCTGCTGGACCTCACAGCCAGAGTTAATAATACTTCTTACAGTCATCTAAGACTTCGGACTGCTGTCCTACTGTGTACTCAGACAGTTTGTTTAACCTGCCTTTAAGAGAACAATGTGACGGTCAACATTACTGGCCTTGGATTTCTCATGTAATCAGCCCTTACAACCTAAGCTAATGCATAGCTGTGATCTTAAGTTATATACTCCCCCATGCCCCTGACCCATGAGTAACAGTAGTGTGTGTGTGTGTGTGTGTGTGTGTGTGTGTGTGTGTACATGCAGGCACATTATGGTGATAAATGATAAAAACAACAAATGGGTCAAAACAGAATCTTACAAATCAAACATCCAATGTAGATGGACACAGTTTGATAAGTCCGTGTGCTGTATTGTTTGTTTGCTGTTGGGGTCAGGAGAGTTCAATCCTTTGTAAAAACCCTGTTAAACATTTCAGTGAAGTATCCGTCTGTCCTACCCTATGTGATAGCCCTTTGTTAGGTACAGACACGGGGGTAGAGGAGACAGGCAGTATTAAGCTAGGCATAGGACACAGAGACAGACTCATGCAACAGACAGATTGGGGATAGGCAAGAAACCATGAACTACAGAGATGGGGAAAAGGAGAGAATTCAAATCTGGACAAACTACTCCAATGGAAAGTGAACTGTTTCTTTCCTTAACACAACACCAACACATTTTGGATACTCTGGAGTTGTCACTGATGCAGTTGAATCAAAACATTTTGAGAGAAAATTTAGTCACATGCTAAGGGAAATCCAGCAATGGCAAGATTCACCCATTTCACAGTCTCACAGGCTGAAAGTTAGGAGGAAATGGTTCTTAAGGTAGGTGTGATAGTTCATGTCTGTAACCCCAAGAGAATTGCCACAAGTCTGAAGCTAGTCTCAGCTATATCTCAAGACTCCATGTCAAAAAGACATGAAAGTTTGGCATGATTCTTACTGTAATGCCAATGGATCATACTGCTGGGGCAGAAGTTTAAGGCCAGCCTTGGCTACAGAGTACAACTCCAACTTGGTCACCATATCCACCACCCCCAAAAGAAGACAGTATGGAGGAAAGAAAGGAAGTTCTCTAACAGCATTTCTGGAAGGGATGGATGGATGCTGGACTCCTGAGACTAAGAATAACTCCCCGGGGCCTGAGAGTTGGGAAGCATCAGGTAGAGTTGGTGCTGTGAGAGTTCTATTACATTAAAGTACAATATAACAATGTATACTGCTGTATTTTGAACAATGCCAAAAGATAGTATCAAAAAGTATGAGGGGTTTGTTGTTGCCTTGTTTCACATCTGGTTTTTGGAATAGACTCTCACTCTGTCACCAGGGAGGTCGCCAGGCTGGCCTCAAACTTAAACAATTCTGCCTGAGCCCTCTATGTGCCAGGACTATTGGCACAAGCCACTATAATATGACATATTCCTTTTCCATCTTAAATCTATATTTTTTTCCTTTACATCATTCTCTATATTGATTATAACGCTATTGTAGAAGAGCATTTCATGTTTTATATTGAATATCCCCATACTCCTCTAACTTTGCTCTCCTTCATCCCATTCATTCCCTTTTTCCCCTAGACAATTTAGCTATTATTCTCGTGTCAAATAAACATGCATGATTTTATGTACCTATAAAATCTAGGATCCACAGATGAGTGAAAAACCTGTGTCTTGAAGACTAGTTTAATCCACTTAATATGATTATCTCCATTTTCCTGCAAACAATATAACTTCATTCCTCTTCATAGCTAGAGAACTTGTGTGAGTGCTTGCACGTTCGTGTGTGTGTGTGTGTGTGTGTGTTTTATACTTCCTTTATCCATTTCCCTGTCATTAGACTCCTCAGTTGACTCTATACATCAGTTACTACTCAGTAAATACTGAGATCTTCCTGATGCAAACTCTCAATAAAGTGATGATTTCCTACCGAGACACCAACATAATGTAATGTTGCTAATCACAAAATAAAATGAAGAATTGATCAGAAACATGAATCCACACAATTTCCCTGTGAAAATACACAGTGCTGTGTGTTTCATGAGTGGTGTGCACATTTACACTTGAGGGAGGAGCACATTTTCTCAGTGGTGGGGATAAATCCCTACTGCAATTGAGTCACAGAGCATTGTCATCAGTGCTGTTGTAGAGACTTCTGGGGTTTGCAACAATTCTTTAGCAGGTTCTCACACAGTAGCCCAGGCTAGTCTGGAGCTATGTAGACCAGGTTGGCATTGAAGTTGCAGCTGTCCTCTTGTCTCAGCCTCTTCAGTGTTGGAATTACAAGCAGGAGCCACTGTGCCTGGTTCATGACAACTTCTGCCTACAGAATGCAAACTGTCATGCCAAAGTGAGACCTTTCCATAGGCGTACTAAGTGGTTCTGCATTTATAGCAGTGTGTCTATAATCTCAGCAGGCTGTATAAACAGTACAGTTTGGGGAGAGGGGGCTAGAATGATGGCTTAGTGGTTAAAAGGCCTGGCAGCTCTTCTAGAAGACTAAGATCCAATTCTCAGCACTCACATGATAGCTCACAACCTTCTGTAAACCCAGTCCAGGGGGAATGATCCACTGTCCTCTTCTGACCTCCAAGGGCTTTGCACACTCAGACATGGCACTCAGACATACACTCCTGTAAAAGACCAATATACACAATTAATAATTTTTTAAAATTCAATTACAGTTTCAGAGCCAGAGTGGTGGCACATGCTTGTAATCCAAACACTTTGGAGGGGAAGGCAGAAGAATCATGAGACAGGCTAGCCCTGTCTCAAAAAAACCCACACCTATGGGGGATGGCAGAGTCCCCACCCCACAAAAATGTAATTTTGTGTCTCTCCTTTCTTCTTTCTTTTGTTAAAAACAAAAACAGAGTTTCACTATGCAATCTATATTGGCTAAGAACGTGTGACCCTGCCTCAGCCCTGCAAATATGGAGGACCCAGGTAAGTACCACGCATACACGGCTTTGAGGCTCTCTTGTAAAAGAGGGTTTTCTCCTCGATGTCCTTACTGATCAAGCGTGATTTTAGCCACTAATGCTGTGGCTCTTGTTTTTCTTTTACTCTTTTTCTTATTTTCTTTAAAGCAAGGTCAGAAATAAACTGAAACAAGAAGAGGAAGAAGTCCATAATGTCTGACTGAACACAATGGCGACCCTGAGGGGTGACAGAGGCAGCCTTCCCAACTAGTGAAGCCGCAAGGTTTGCAGATAATGAAACAGATTGATCTAACACAGGGAGAGCCCAAGGCTGCTCCAGCTCCAAGAGGAAGAGGCGGCAGCTTCACTGGTGTGCTTTAAGACTCACAATGGGGCTCACAATGGGGACACATTAGCAGGTGGAGAGCTGAATGTCCTGCACGAGTTGCCAGGAGAAACACCTCCTAACAGACCTCTTTCCCCTGAAGAGAGTAGACCAGGGCTTTGGGCCCTAGACCCTGGGGAGGGAGCGCTTTTCAGGTCGAGTCTGCCAGTTACTGACCATTCTGGTATCTTCTTGTGCTTTATGCAAGTTTATGGGGGACAGGAAGTAGAATTGGGATGGGAAGGGGTTTGCCAAAGGATTTTGGAATCTAAACAAAATACGGTCTCCTCGCCCTTGTCCTTTGGATTTCTATAGCTGCCTGTGGTGATGCTTCTCTGTGACAGGCCAATTTAGCATGCACTCGAATGGAAACATGAATTGAGAGTGGGGGAGTGGGATGTTTTTGACAGTCTTATTCTGGTTCCCTAAGAATGGGAGGGAGAAGTTTCCCATCTTCTGGCAAGCCCCCACCCTGGCAGCCACAGGAATTAGAATCAGACCTCTGGGAAGAGAAGGGGTTGCAGTGCACAGAGCTGGAGTCTTGTTGGAGAGTGACAGAGGGACCTGGAGAGTCGATGGAGAAGAAGGAGCCAAGGGCCAGCAGAGGGAGACCACTGACAGGGGGAGGCCGAGATGTGGCGACCTGAGAGACAGGTGTCCCTGGTGCCCACAGCCTAGAGACTCATCGACCGAGTCCCTCGGGACTGGAGCCTCTGTGGTCGCTTCGATCCTGGGCGTCAGATCGATGGCCTGCGCTGCCGCGCACTCCCCACAGGGCCGGCGAGGCCCGATAAGTGGGAGCAATTGGGCCTGGCGACGACCAGGCACATCTTCTCGGCGCGGGTGCCGGGGGCTCAGCTCGGCGCAATTAGAGCTGAGTGTCTAAATGGGCCAGGCTCGCGGCAGAGCATGTCCCGGCCCCATGGCAGCCAGCCCCACAGCCGCCCGCAGGCCCCGGGAGGCCACACACCGTGCCTGGCTCCGGCCTCTCCCTGCCTAGGCCACTGTGTCCCCATCCCGCTCCCTGCGTTCACCCTTTCCCTTCCCAAGCCAAAGGATCCTGCCTCTATGCCTCTGGCTAGACACTGCCTTCTGAGTTTGTTCGGTCACAGAAATTCCAGGGCAGTAAATTCTGCCAGCTCCTCGAAGCATGTGAACCTTGTGCCCTTTGTAGCAGGAAGTCATCACAACTGTGCTCTAATGCTGTCCTCCGTCCACCCACGAGGGAACGAATAGGAGCCAATAACGATGCTAACCAGTTTTGGCAATGGGCACATACATAGCAAGTCTCACGCAGGTGATGTTATGATTATTTCACGGTGAAGGAAACACCTTTTCACAATTATAGCGAAGAGCCAGGGGTCCTGAACCCGACTTGGTCATCTTAGGTAGGTAGGGCGATCACAGGAGTGGCCAGAGCCTTGGTGAGAGCAGACGCTTACAGAGAGACCGGAGCTGTTGATAACGGCTTTGGATCCAGTCTAGAATGGGTTAAAGCAGGAGAGGCAATAAGCAGACTGTAGTTGCCATGGGGTTACCTGGAAATAGCCACAGTAAACTGAAAACACAGTCAACCTGAAATACATTTACTATAGCTACCTACCAAACATTCTAGCCTGGTGTGGCTTCAACGTGCACAGAATGCTTACATTAACCTAGGCAAACTGAGCAAAATCGTCTAACAGGAAGCTGGCTGTAACAGCTGAGGTCTCAATGCATACTCAGCGATGGATGTTTCATAGACAGGCTATGCAAAAAGAAAAACACAGCATTCAAAACCTGCTGACAGACAGCACAGTGCCCTGTATTGCATTGGGTATTTTCTTTAATGATCTCATTGCCTATCCTGGCCTAGAAAAAGTCAAGTTTCAATTTTTTTTAGATAATTTCTTTGGAATGTGCATCACTTTCGTAACATCCTAAGTTTGAAGAAGTTTTAAGTCAAACTATAATATGTTGAGGATCATCTATAATTCAATCTCATTTCTCAGATGGGAAAATAGAGGCCTGGGGAGGTTTTGCATGCTGTCACCTGAAAGGAGCCATAGTCCAAACCCAAATGACTTTTCCGTCTAGTTATTTGGAGCTATGTCCTATACCCTAATCTGAAGAAAGAAGAGACTAGAATCCTGGAGCCTCCTTCTCCCCTCGTCTCTTCTCATCCATTTTCTCTTGGAAAGTAACATGGGTTGAGAAGTTTTTGTTTGTTTGCTGTTTTTTGTTTCATTTTGGTTTGGTTTGGCTTTTGTCCTCTGGGGTTGTTTATTTCAGTTACAAATTCAATACAAGTCCATTTCCTAGCTTAAGCACAAGGACATTTTCAAATATAAGGCAATGGCCTTTCCTTCTCCTCCTCCTTTTTCTTCTTCCTCTGAAATAGGCATTGTCATTTTTTAGAGCAGATTCTGGTTCACATTACCAAGCAAAACACACCAGGACTCCTCACACACTCTCCGCTTGCACATAAGCATAGCCTCCCCCATAGCCAACACCGACCACAGTACTACTTTTCTACAGTTTGCACGGTCTTAACATCTGTGACCCTCTCCTAAGGCCATGTGCTGCAAATTAATCTATATAATAGTTACTGTTATATATACCATTAAGTAGCATTAAGTAGAGACCTTGAAAGACCATGGTCATGAGGACTCCCCTTCCTGGCTTTCATAGTAGTCTTATAAAAGATTCGTGAGAGATCCATGTTTGCCTCATCTGCCTTGTGACTGCACACAGAAGATGCCAGCTGTGAGGAATGTGTACTTGCATACATGAATTTTTGGAAGCATTGGTCTTGGACTTTCCAGGTTCCAGAACAATACATTTCTATTGTTGTCTCGGCAAGTGATTGCCTGAATAGACTACCACAGCAAAGCCACATTGACACATCACTTGTCACTCAAAGCCTGTGGACTGTGGACTAAGGTTTACTCTTGGCATGCAGTCTATGTGCCCAAATAAATGTACTATATGTTTCCACCACTACCGTGTCACACAGAGTAGATTCACGGTCCTCCAAATCTCCCATGATCCTCCTGTTTATTCCTCCCTCCCCTCTAACTCAGAAACCACCAATATTTTCACTGTCAGCACTGTTTTACCTTTTCCAGAATGTCGTATAATTGGAATCATGTGGTGATACACTCTGAGATTGCCTTCTTTTGCTTCAGGATGTATGGGAATTCCTTTATATCCTTGCATTGTTCGGTAACTCAATTCTCTCTTGTGTTAAGTAGTATTCCATTGTCTGGGTATACCACGGGTAATTTAACCATCATCCTACTAAATAAGGCATTGATTCCATCTAAGTATTGGCAATTACAAATAAAGCTGGTTTTTGTGTAACCTTAAACCTTACTCTTTTGGGGGAATACCAAAAGGAATGATTACTGGGTTATATATGTCTCAGTTACTGTGAAAAAAACACACATTTGAAAGGGCAATTTATGCAAAGAAGGGCTTTATTTGGCTCACAGCCCATCACAGTGAGGAGGCAGAGGCAGCAAGAGCTTGAAACGGCTGATTGCATTTCCTGTACAGTCAGGAAGAACAGGGCAGGGAATGCTAGTGCTTAACTCACTTTCTCCACTCTGTGCAGTCCTGGATCCCGGCCCAGGGAATGGTCCTGCCCATAAGATGACTGGGTCATTAAGAGCACTTGCTGCAGCTCTCAGAAGACCCAAGTTCAGTTCCCAGTACACACATAAAGTGACTCGCAGCCACCTGTAACTCCAGTTCCAGAAGATCTGATGCCTATCCGGGCACTGTATGCACACAGTGCACATAGCTGCACCAAGGCACGCACGCGCGCGCGCACACACACACACACACACACACTCTAACCAAATATAGCTTTTTAAAGATAAGTCTTAAAAGACAAACATGGTATGTACTCACTCATATATGGATTTTAGACATGGAGCAGGGGATTGCTAGCCTACAATCCCACTACCACCAGCAAGCCTGTGGATGCTGCTGCAACTTGGGTGCAGAGCATACCGGGCTTGCAGGGAGCACAATATTTATAGAGTTTTAATGGTTGCATAAGTAACAGGCATTTCATTGGCTCATCTTGGGGGCAGGGGTAGTTCCCACGGACCAAGTTTCCTGGTATTACTTTATGAAAGACCCCGGCACGCTTCAGCAATTATTAACCGGGTCCCATGACTACTATGGTGATCATAGACACAACTGGGGGCAGGGGTAGTTGCCAAGGACTAGGTGTCTTGGTATTGCCACATAAAAGACCCTGGCACGCTTCAGCAATTATTATCCCGGTCCCATGACTGCTCTGGTAACCACAGATCCTGTTTGACATCCTGCCAGCTGGGCGAGGCACCTGGTCTGGGTTTTTTCATTAGGCAAAGGCCTGGCCTTGCTTTTCTTTTCCTAGGGGGTCCTGGGTAGGGGTCTTTCAATATGCAATCCTAGAACCCTCATCCAGTAGCTGACCGAAGCAGGGGCAGACACCTACAGCTAAAAACCGAACTGAACTCCTGGAACCCAGTTGCAAAGAGGAGTGATGAGCAAAGGAATCAAGACCAGGCTGGTGAAACCCACAGAGGCAGCTGACCTAAACAAGGGGGAATGCATGGACCCCAGACTGATGACTGAGAGACCAGCATGGGGCTGATCCAGACACCAGCTTCCCCGAACCTGGGTGTCAGAGAGGAGGCCTCGGCAACTTATGGGACCTTAGAGGGTCGATAAGTATTTATTCCTAGCATACAAATGGACTCTGGGAGCCCATTCCACATGGAGGGATGCTCTCTCAGCCTGGACACATAGGGGAGGACCTAGGCCCTGCCCGGGATTGTATGACAGACTCTGAAAATCCCTCATGGGAGGCCTTACCCTCCCTGGGGAGGGGAAGGAAGATGGAGTGCAATGAGGGGTTGGCAGGAATGGAGGGTGGGGGGGGAGGGAAGGGAAAGGATACTGAGAGTAATATGTGTAAAAAGTTAAATAAAATAATAAAGAAAAGTCCACATTGAGATAAAACTTCAATGACTTTCTCGGAGGCTAACCTTAATCTAGATAATTCCTCACAGATGTGCCCACAGGCTTTCTTCCTAGCTAATTCTAGATTCTGTCACTCTGCTAGCACTGCCTTTCACATATGGCAACTATAGGCTTCCTTCTATCAGAAGCTACCAAGCGAATGCTCAAGTTTTGCTCTCATCAGCATTTGATGTGGATATATATATATACATATATATATATACATATATATATAATTTAAATTTGAAACAAGGTTGCTTCACATGTCAATTCCAGGTCCCTCTCCGTTTCCCTTCCCTCCTCCCGTGCCCTCCCACCAACCCCCCCAATATCCCTTCATTTCCCCAGGGAGGGTGAGGCCCTCCATGGGGGTGTCCATAATCTGTCATTTCATCCAGGGCAGGGCCTAGACCCTCCCCCAAGAGTTCAGGGTGAGAGTACATCTCTCTTTGTTGGATGGGAGTCCAAAGTCCATTTGTATGCCCAAGATAAATACTGATCTACTACCCAAGGCTCAATAGATTACCTATGCCTCCTCACTGACACCCACATTCAGGGGGTCTTGATCAGTCCCATGCTGGATTCCCAGACATCAGTCTGGGATTCAAGAGCTAGCCCTTGTCAGGTCAGCTGTTTCTGGGGGTTAATAGACCCAGACATTCTAACGGTTGTATAGTGGTGTCTCATCAATTTACGCTTCCCTAAGGACATATGACATGGAGTATCTTTTTTATATATCTATTGTCATCTTCATATATTCCTATCTGATTTTAATGGGGTTGCTTCTAGTCTAATCGATGAGTTTTTGAAAATTATTCCTATATTTTGGATAATAGTACTTCATTAGATACATGTTGTGAAAATACTTTCTTCCAGGCTGTGGATTGCCTTTTCCTTCTCTTCTTTCCATGGAGCAGAAAATTTTAATTGTAATGAAGACCTGATCATCAGTTCTTTCCTTCATAAACCATGTCTTTGGCAATGCCTTTCAAAGGTCTTTGCCATCCATGACTGGGCATGGTGACAAGTGCTTCTAATCCCAATACTTGAGAGGCTGAGGTGAGAGGATCAGGGGTTTGAGACCATTCTTGGCTACAGAGTGACTCTTGGGCTATATGAGAACCTACATTTTATAAAAAGTTATTGCCAAATTCAGCATCATGTGAATAATCTCCTAACGGTTTTACATTTATGTTCGTGACCCGCTGAATTTAACTTAGATGGCAGATGTAAGATATGTGCCCAGGTGTGTATTTTGCATGTGGATCTCCAGTTGTTTGGTGCCATTTGCTGAAAACATCATCTTTTCTCCTCAGACAAAAATCTTTTGCTCTTTGTCAAAAAGGAAGTGGCTATGTATGCATAGTTATTAAAGGCTCTCTAGTCTGTCCTATTTACCTGTCTCTCCGTTCCTCAATGCCTCATGGTCTTGTGACCAGTGTTGTTTAATAATTCATTTTGAAATCACATAGCATCAGTCCTC